AAAATCTGAGCAATCGCATAGGGTTACCATAATCAGGAATACAAGATTTTAGTAATGGGTTATGCTGAGAATATTCCTATTTTCTAAGACATTTCATACTCAATAATCCTGGGGGGTCGGGAGGGTACATGCATTATCCCTATTTTATAGCTGAAGAAAAGCAACTCAAGGAAGCAAAGTAATTTTTCCCAAGGCCACTTGACTAAAAAGTTGCCAGTCCTGGGGCACAAATTCAGCACTTCTAAGTTCCACTCTCTTTCCATCACAGGAAGAAACAGTTTGAAACAGTACTCTGGGAATTGCCAAAATATTGCCTGTGTTGTTCTTCATATTGATTTTTTAAGATATTCCATGGAGATTTTAAATAACTCCCTTTGTTGGAAAATGGAACTGTTTATTTGGGGTTTTCTGGCTGGCATGCGTGTGAAATCATTTTAGTATTGTTAAATATTTCTTAGGAAAAGGGTGGACGTGGTTCTAGAAAGACAGAGTTTCACATTCCTTTCTTTCTTGGACACCCAGAAATTCGGATTCTCAGGAGACGGAGCCTCTTTAAGCATGGGCGTTGAAAGGATATTTGGATGTTGTTAGCTCCCTCATGGGAGGGTTAAAAAGTTTCAATACTCTTTCTGCATCTAAGACAGATGATTTTGTCTTGATAACAATATCTCCGAGAATTCTCTCTGTGATTTCAAGAACTCAGTTAACAATTTTTTGAGTGTCTATATATGCTGGGCATGCTCAGCCCCTCCCTTTAGTGATCTTACCATATTTCCTTTTTACAGCGACTGTCTTTGGGAGCAAACAGTCGATTTTGCTGAGATTAGTAATAGACTAAAGAGACCGAAACATTGTTTTTCTACTTGAGTTCCTCTGCTCTCACAGAATATTCCATTGAGTGAATGTCGGACGCAGGTGGTTCCTTTTAAACTTGAATCAATAGATTCCAGAAGTTGTGCTATTAACGTTTGAAATCTGTAAAGCAGAAGGCTTAAAAGAAAGGGTGTTTCTTTAAATGGGGGAAAGAGCATGTTTGGTTCTGGGTGCCATTTTTGTGGAACTCTGAGGAACACCAGAGGTGGTCTACTGGCCACCTGGCTGGGGTGTGGGGAGTGGTGGCCCCCCCACCTGCCCCCAGCAGAGGGCATGTCAGGCAGAGCCAGGCGGGGGAAGGGAGGAAGTGGCTCCTGTGTTTCCTTGTCCCCTTCTCCGTCTACACTCCCTCCTAAATGATCTCGTCTCATTCCAATGGCTTCCTGCCTTTCTCAGAGCTTGATCAGGGAAAGAGAAGCCACTCTAGGTATTAGAAACACGAATAGTTTTAATTCAGAGGATTAGAGGCTCACAAAACTGCTGGAAGGCTTGGGGAACTCAGGTCAAGGAAGCTCCCACTGCTGATCCCAGCTGCCTGCAGCCCTGGAGTGGGGAATTCTCCAGGCTTGCCTGGAAGTCACCATGAATTTCAAGTCTCCAGGAATCCAGGACCACTGGCCTACGGCTCTGGAGCATGCGATTTGCTGGAGCTAGCCTGGAAACCCCCACATCTGCTGACTGACCACGTGTCTGCCTGGAACTCTTGCTGGAGAACTCTGGCTTCCAAACTTTGGGCCAGGGCTTCTGAGAGGCAGACTCTAACCCACAACCACAGGGGGAAGATTCCTGAGAAATGTGTTTCCAGGCTCCTCCCCTGTAATGCAGAGGACAATGCAGCAGGAAGTGGCCTTGATGTCATTATCAGCTGACAACCAAGGACATTGCCTGACTCTACTTTGTTTTTTTGAGGAAGATTAGCCTTGAGCTAACATCTGCCACCAATCCTTCTCTTGTTGCTGAGGAAGATTGGCCCTGAGCTAACAACCATGCCTGTCTTCCTCTATTTTATATGTGGGAGGCCTGCCACAGTATGGCTTCATAAGCGGTGCATATGTCCAAGCCTAGGATCCAAACAAGTGAACCCCGGGCCACTGAAGTGGAGCCTGTGAACTTAACTGCTACACCACTGGGCCAGCCCCACCTGTATCTATTTTTCAAACATTTTTTCAGTCCTCACTACATGCAAAACACTGCTACAGTGCAAGAAAACCTGGGACCCAGGATCCATGATGAACACAAATATGCAGATGAGTCCTAATTGAAATTTGATAGTCTTTAAAAATTGCTCTTTTAGGGGGCCAGCCCCTTGGCCAAGTTGTTAAGTTTGCGTGCTCTACTTTGGTGGCCCTGGGGTTCGCTGGTTTGGATCCTGGGTGTGGACCTACCCACCACTCATCAAGCCATGCCGTGGCTGCATCCCCCATAGAAGAACTAGAATGACTTACAACTAGGATATACAACTATGTACTGGGGCTTTGAGGAGAAAAAAAAAAAAGAGGAAGATAGGCAACAAATGTTAGCTCAGGGCCAATCTTCCTCACCAAAAAGCATTAAAAAAATTGCTCTCTTAGCAGAAAAGTAGGGAAATAAAAATGAAGGGAGAAGGAAACCAGTAATGGCCTCACTTTAACCTTTCTGTCCCCAAAGCAAACAACTTCACTCACAAGGGAAGCTAATTTTTTTAAAAAATTAATATTACTCATTCCAGCTACTCACTGAGTCTCTACTAAGCCTGAATGAATTTCAAGTATTGGCTGAGAATAGTTTATTCTGAAATAAGGAGAGAGATGCCTAAATCAACAGTTCCCAAAATGTCTGATGCAGTGAAGCACTTCTAGGGTATTCTTGCAGTGAGGAAAAATACCTTTCCTTTTAAAAGTAAAAGGGGGATGATCGGGGAAATAGAAAAAACAATTCTCATGCAGCAGAGAATTGTGCCCTGGTTCTTCCCTCCAGCTGTTTCTTTTTTAAATCCCCCTTTCATCGTTTACTTGCTCTCCAATTCCAATTTCCCTCCTCACACCAATTGTGCCATTTGCTCTTCCTTGTCTTTGTTTTTCCAAGGAGACTTGGCCATAGCCAGGGATAGTCATCCCCCACCCTGGGAATCCTGATTGTATTAATATAAATCATTTGTGGATAACGTATGATTAGCCGACTGCTCGGGCCAGTAGGTCTTGGAATGTGTCCTCCTCTCGAAGGCCCTCCTCCCTCCCACATACATCTTCATCACTGGATTTCAAAGACAGATGATGCACAGGAAGAAGGAAGAGCCATTTTTTTTCAGCATCTCCTCCTCCCACCAAAACTCACCATGGTACCCAGTGGGAAAGAAATGAGATAATTAGGGCTTTTTTTCTTCGAAAAATTTGCAAGATGAAGCTCAGGAGACAGCGTGCCAGATGTTGTAGAGAGCATGACCGCTCAGTCCCTTTGGCCACACATGCTGAAGTCATGAAGCCAGGAAATCTGACTCAGGAGTCGCCATCCAGTGCGGGAGCTGACGAAGCACTGAATGCTCTGGGGCAACTGGTAACACAGCCAATCCCTGGAGCGCAGGCTGGGTCTGAGGGCGTGCTCGGGCAGGGGTCAGCTGGAGGGAGACTGAGAGGCTGGGACTGCTTCAACACGTTCTGGGAAACCCTGAAAGGTCAGATCAATGCCAGGGGCAGGATAAACTGTGGGCTTGCTATCCCTGCGCTTGCAAGGGAAGTCCCGTTGATGCTGTTGGCTCTTCCTGAGCACCTGGAGTCCACCTGGGAGAAAGGTATGGTATCTTGGATGCGTATGCCTGAGATGAGTAAGACATGATGTCCAACAGGTTAAATGAGAGAAAGTGAGAAAGCACAGACTCCCATGCTGGTTCTATTACAGCTTTGTCTTTATTAAAATTACGATGTGAGTCAGTCATCACTTCACATAAAAATGAACAACAAAGACACAAGAGTAAACAAGGTTTTACATAGAGGATCTGGGCTTAACTGGTTCCTCACTGAGCCCAATTACAATCACTTCCCACTCCGTCTTAGGCTGTTGTTCCACGTCGAAGTGGCGTAGTTAAGTCTTGTAGGGATTCAGAAGGCTTGAGCGCTATGCTCATTGTCTCCAGTCTTGACACAACTTGGCAAAGCAACAGGATCTTCGTCCTTGGCCCTGCTAATCACCCCTGGGACCCAGCCCCAGCTGCCTCTGCTTCCCTGGAGACCAGAGCACCCTTCTGGGCTGACTGTATACAGCGACATTCCCGGGTCATGGGGTCCTGTGATCAACATTGCCCCAGTGCCCTGGTTCTCCGATGAGTTTGCATAGCAATTGCCCTGAATCTTGTTATAAATGCAGATTCCAGGCTGCCAGCCCCCATGGTCTGCGGGGGCCACTGCAGACCACTGCCTTTCTCGTAAGTTCCCGGGTGAGGCTGACAGCGTTGCTGCCCGGGACAGCTGCGTCAGGCACTTCTTCTTGCAACCATGTCTCTGCATGCCTCCTTTGGTTCTCCCACCCAGCAGGAGCAGACATTTGCTAACAGAAGTTCTTTACTGTATGTCAGAGGGTTTTACAACTAGCTTTCTGCAGAACAGTAAAAAACAAGAGAGTTCAACTTAAACATAGCCAAACAACTTTTAACGGAGCAGTAAAGTGATTTCCTCACCGGGCTCTGCTCTGAAGCGGATCTGAGAAGCTCTGTTCGCTCTGGACCGTTTTGCAAGTTTACCCTGGGCCCACCTTGGAAACACCCTGGACTGCCAGGGTGAATCTAGTCTCCGCGGACCATCACACTGGCTTATTTCAGACCTGCGTCCCCAGGGGTAGGTGGGAGCTGGCTGAGGCCTCAGGCCAGCTGGGTAGCAGAGCCTTGTGCCCAGTGCTGCCTGGTGGCCTTCTGAGCTCCACGTCCTGGGTGGTCCGCATACTGGCAGAGTGCAAGGCTGCGGGAGTTCACAGCCCCCTCTGGGGGACATGACGAATGGCCTTGCTGACAAAACGTGGTCTGCTTTCCATCTCAAAGCCATGAACGGTTTCGTTTTCAAAGCAGGAAAACAAACCACGGGAACCAGACACAACACACGCAGGCCACAAATGATACAGCCATTTTCTCGTCTCAAATAGGGGACCTGCGAAGGTAAAAGAAAAACAGCTTTGTGAAAATTCTTTGATGAAAAGCTAATATAGAAAACTCAACCCGAGCTTGTAATGAGACCTCCTGTGCCCTCCCTGGCTGGTCCTTTGCCTGACCTGGTTGAGATTCAGTCCTCTCTGGTGGGCAGACCTGCCTGAGACTGGTCTTTTCCAGGGGCTTTCCAACTGTGCTCCAGCCTGGCGCTTCCCAGGCCACCATGGAGGGGTATTTGGGCAGGCCATGCAGTGCTCTCAGTCCCCCTGCACAGACCAACTCCATTTCTATCCGATTCATTAATATAGTGCCACTAACATCTCTTTTGAAGACAAGGACATTTGAAATATTCTAATCTACTCTGATCTCACATGCATCCCAATGTGGGGTTCCAGTGAAGAAAGGAGAAGAAAAGAATAGCCAGTTTGCAAGTGCACTGATTTCTGTGCCCTTCCTCTCTCTGATGTTGTCCACCATTTCCCTTTTTAAAACTTTGCTCCTTCCTTTAGGGATGTGCATAATAATTTAAGGCTGAGTTATCAAGAGCCAGAAAGAACTAGCAAAGGATTATGTCTCTTTATATTGTGAATGACAAGACAACCATGTTAGCTATACAAAATAATGAGTGAGTCCCCTGCCTCAGCCTCTCCTGGTTGGCAGATGGGTCTCTGGGATGCTTGGGTCTTGTGTGCCACACTAGCTCGTGGACATAGAGCCTGTCTTCTCTATGGTCCTACAGCAATATAGGAAATAGATAATTTGACATGACTGTCTGGTTAATAATGGTTCACCCTTCTACGCCCACCCCCATAAATGAGTGCTACTCGCTGGCCATGTGTATAATAAGCGGCTTTGTTCCCCTAGCCAAAGCTAACTGGAGAGCCAGTCTGGGCCAATGAGTTCTTTTTCTTCACAGTGTAGTGGTTAAGAGCATGGACTCATGCTAATGAAGGAGGTATGGTAAGAAGTAGGGTGATAAGCATTGTGGGTGGAGAGGAGCCAAGGTAGGGAGGCATAAATGAATAAAGGGTGCCTGGTAGGCTGGAGGAAGAACCTAGAAAGGAGGGTGGGGCCTCTGTTGTGTCGTGTTCAAGTATTTGGAATATTCTCTTAGGCTATCAGCAAACATTAGGAGATAGCTTAAAGAAGGAAGTGAAATGATCAAATCTAAATATTACAGAGTCAACACCAGTGGCTCAGTGGAACATGGAGAGGAAGTGGAGAGATAATTAGGAGAATCATTCTCAAAATGGTTCATTCATTCAGTCATTCAAAAAATCTTCATGGAGTACTCATTGCGTGTCAAAAGACAGAGGATAAGGGCTTAAACTACAGCAGCCATTGCAAGAAAGAAGGAGGAAGAGATTCACGGCACAGATCCAACAGGACTTGATGACTGCTTTGATGTGGATGTGAGGGGAGGGCAGGAGTCAAGGGTTGCTGAGCCCACAAATGGACTGATAGAGCCGTTATTCCAAAAGGGACAGGTAGGAAGGGGAGCTCTTTGGGATGGGGGTGGGGGAGTGGTGGGATGTATATGGAAGTGGGTTTCCTGCCTAACATTCAGAGCACTTTCAGGAGACTTAGTATCAATCCACACCTTCTCCAAAACTAATGTGAAAGCAAAGAAGTATATTTATTGTGTGATGACGTGAAACAATCAGAACATGCTAACAGGGAGGTCATCAAAGGAACAAATTATTAGAAAGGAGTGTGACCCCAGCACTGATGGGAAAGCCCTTCAGGAGCATTTGTGTCTCTCAAAGACTCATAGCAGGGCCAGGACACAGCGCCTTCCGTGCGAGTCGGCTTCTCTGGAGAACTTAGGTAAATATTCGGGCCCATGGAAAAAGGCTGGCTGAACTTCTTTTGGGAAGGATGCTCAGGGGAATGAGGTAAGAACAGAAGATTCTAATTTTTGCCAGTTCTCTCTCCTTCTTCACTCTCATTCTTTTAGAACTTTTCTCAGAGGCGGTCTCCCAAGCTTCTGAAATCCACACTTGGCTCTCTTTCCCTCTCTCTCTCTCACACACACATGTGTGCATGCGTTGAAATTTGGAAAACTCTGTGAGTTATTAGGATATTTTTTCTGTATCACATACTTCCCCATAGAAATGTTAGAAAGACGGAGTGGTGGGGAATACTAGAAAGAACAGGTGGTGCCAGATGAATCAGGTGTCTAGTTCTGCCCGAGCTGACTGTGGGCAAGACACTGACCTTCTCTGAGCCTCAGTTTCTTTAAAACTTCACAGGGCTACTTCAATACTGGAAGTGATGTCTATAAAATATGTAGTGCTTATTAGGCACTTACTGAATACGAGAATGAAAGTAGTACTATGTGACTATAGACTTTGAAGGTTTCCATGTTTTATTGCTCATCAGAACGAATAATGGTCCCAGCATATCTTCCAACAGGTAAAATTCTCTGGAAACAAAACTTTAGCAAATATCAGTGTGGAATTTATTCATGTTTTATTTAATTACTTGGGGCATTTAATGAAAGAATGAATTATTAAGTGAGAACATTGATTGTTCCCTGTGTATGGCAAGAAGATCTCCTGTGTATGCTTAAAATAGCTCCATAAAATGTAGAGCAGGCCATAGTAAATTAAAGAAAGGAAGCAAAATGGAATGAGGATTGAAAACACAATTTAACCTGTAAGTCCGCATAAAATGACGGCCACACCCCAATTATCACACCCCCTCCCCCACACCAAAGACTTCTAGCTATCTAGAATGATGGTGAGGCCAAACCCAAAGGAGAATTAAGTGCTGCTGTAAAAGATTGAAGATGTGTGACTGCTGGGTTCATGGTCAGAAGAAGGCAAGTTCTCTTGGGTTCCTGCGCCCTTGTAAACACTCTTACCCTCTTCACCCCACTGTGTGGTCTGGAAGCCTTGCTCTTTGGGTTTGTTGGGTTTGTCCAATGGGAAATCCTTGCAGGATAAGGAAGGGAGGGAGGAGAGAAGGTTTGCGGACTTATCCTCCTGCTTCTCTCAACTGGGGTTATGCCCCTCTCCAGTGGGGTCTCTCTCTATGACACTCTCCTTCCAGGTTCTAGAAACCATTCCCTCCCTTCCCCTTTTGGGCCTACAGTTGGTAACAGCTCCCTTGTTTTTAGACCCAGGGTACAGCACCATCCCTTGTGTGGTACATTCTGCCCACACGTTGTAAAAGTTCTTCGCATCTGAGTGTGCCATCCGTTTCCCACTGGGCCCCTGACTGGAATAGTTAGCAGTGATATGAGCTGAGTCTCACTGGGACTGACACTGAGAAAACTGGAGGAAAGGAGGCAAAAGGAGAAAACAGAAAATCAGAAAGAAGAAGAGAGGCTATGAGGGTAACAGAGAGTATCCCTGGAGGACAGAGGAGTAGAGAAGGCAAGATACAAACTGGAGTAACACCCACAGAGAGGAAGAGTGATGCCTGAGGCAGAGATGAAACACCAACCTAGCAGGCTGGAACCATCCATCACAGACTCAGCAGCCCTTGAGAACCCCCCAAGTGTCAAGGTAGAGCCACACAAGCTGGTCCACACAGGTGGGCTGGAGTGCTTAGTGCAAGGGTGAATTGCATCCCACTTAAGTCAGTAACCTCTGAGCACTTCACTGTGTTAAGACACAGTCTAGGACTTGATGGGTACCATTTACATAAACTAGCATCTTGGAGATAAAGCCAAATTATATTCCCTATATTCCAAAAAGGAAAGCAATTATTTGTCGAGGGCCTACTCCTTGCCAGAACAGGTGTATTTTAATCCTCATAGCAGCTGAAAGTAGAATAGCACTAGCCCCATTTTATAGGTGAGGAAGTATTTTCAGCGAAATTAAGTAACTTGCCTGAAGCTACATAGCCAGTGTGTTTCAGAGGTAGGAGCCCAACACAGCCTTTTTTATTTCACTGAGCAACCACACTATTTCAAAAAAGGATGAATCCTTATCCAGAATGATCCACAAACATTTCCAGTAGTTGAGGCATGACTATACACTTCTATGTTCTGCTGGTTTTTCCACAGCAAACCTTGCTAAGACTGCATCGAATATAGGGTGCATCATTTACAATGAGGCTCATTGAAGTAAATAGGTGGATCTCCCTTGGCAGCCCTGATCTATGTTACTGGTGAGAAGCCAGAGGTAGGACAACATCGAGCTTCAAACATAGGTGTTGAGAGAGAAGCACACATTTTGTCCTCCTTTGTACCGTGCATTATGCTCCAGATGGTCAGCTCTGTGTTGGCAGCAGTCAGTTTCACACTGAGATGTATTATATGGGACTAGGAGTTGGAAATGCCCACTGTAAGAAATGAGGAGAAAGAAAGTCTGAGCTTTAAAGGGAAAGAGACACGAAAACAATCAGCCTAGCCTTTCTAACCAAGTATTCTGTTCAGTGCAACCCAACAGTTACTGAGAACACACAGCACAGTCCAAATCAAAGCTTGGCTATCTTTTAGCTACATGACTTTGGACTAGTTAATCAATATCTCTGAGCCTTTTTTTCCTAACTAATAAAATGGGGCTAATATTATTACCCTAATTTACAGGGTCATTTTGAAGATTAAATTACATTCAAGCATAATACAGTGCTTGAAATGAAGTGGGTCAAAATATATGGTCACCACTGCCATCATCACCATCATCATCATCAAGGACTTCACAGCCTGGTTGGAAGGATATGGGAATAAAAGCTGCTATTTAGAAAAAATGTGTTCATTCTGAACAGCGTTTTTCAGAGGAAAACAAGAAAGTTGGCTTTGGTCTATCCCCTTGAGTTTTGGGACAAGCCACCTAATTTCCCTGAGCCTCAATTTTGGCATATGTAAAATGGGGCTAATAATGTGTCAGCTCCAAGAATACCGTGTTAATGACGTAGATGAAATGAAACCTAGTGCCTTAGAACAAGGAATTACGTGTTAGTATGAGTGCTCCTGACTTGTAACACCACTAGTCAAGTTTTTCCCACCTTTGATTGCCGTCTCAATGGCGTGCATTCCAGAACCAACATTTGTAAGATCCCTTTCAGTTTCCAAAAGCAATTTCTTGATTCTTTTTCTTTGTAATGTCCCCTTTGGAAGAAATGGCCTTGCATGCATTAGCCAGAGATGGTGTGTGAGTTGGGATGGGGGGAGCAACGTGCTGTGCTCATGTGTAGGCATGTTGTGTTTCTCGTAAGATTGAGGCTGCTCTGAGAATTCCCAGCTCCCAGTAGTGGGACAGGGAGGGCTCATTTTGTAGCTCTGACATGGGATTGTCACTAAAGATATAATGATAACCCCTTATTTGGAAAGGCTTTCTTTGGGGGAAGGTTTTTATTTTAACAATTTCTCTTAAAACAGAAAACTAATTGACATTAAATCCAGTTGACTCAACAACTGTTTAGTGAGTGACTGTTATATGTAAGAGCCTGGGTTTGCAAACCCCATCTCTTTAAGACTTATTTAAACATCGATTTCTATAAGATTTAATAAAACAAAGCCCCATCAGGCTTTGGGCCATCCTTAGAGGGGTTAACATCCAAATTCCTCTTAGGAGCAGCTGCATGTGCCAGCTTTCAATAAAACAGGGAATGCGCCCTGTTCTGCTAAGTTGATTATCCTGAGTTTCATTTTCAGAACAAAGAGGAAAAGGGAAGGGGTTCAGGTAGTGAAGCCATTGCACGGAGCTTTGGGAAGGCTGCTGAGCAGGTGGGTGGCAAATGCAGGGGTGAAGGTGTGGTGGGTGAAAGAGAGGAAGGGCAAAGCGAGCGTAATTGGACTTGAAGATGAATCAGCTGTTTCTGATTTCCTGCCGCAGACTAATTTCTAAGCATTTCTGATATTGTCCTTTTCATAAGAAAAATATCGTAGGTTACCCTAGTGACTCCTCTGCAACAAATTTCTGAGAAGCAGGTGTTAGAGGGAACCTGTGCATGAGCTGCATGCAGAGGCCAATTGAAGAGGGCATCTGAAGCCTCATGAATATGCCCAGATGCCCATGTTGGCTATAACCTGCACTGGTTTGGCAATGGGATAGCATCAACAAGAAAGAAAGACCGTACAACCAAGGTATTAAATAAGAGTGATGATGAAGAAAAAGCCTCAAACAGATCCTCTTCTGCAGTCAGTTAGGAAACTCAGAGCAGACATGAGACAAGTCAATGTGTGTTGGCCAAATAGGAAGATGGAAAGAAAGAATGGTTATAAAAACACCTACCCACCCTTTCAGTGGCCATTACTTGGCTGTGGAAAAGGCAGCTGACAACAAACTAGAGACGCTGAGAAACCAACACTGTACAGCGATAGCTTTCAGGTCAAAAAAAAAAATCTCACTAATCCCTGCTTTGCAAAACGAGTACATGTAATACTAGCAAAACCTGAGCTTTCAATAAATCAGAAAACAATGGAGGCATTGTCTGAACTCACCAAGCAGTCCTTTGCTCTCACCATGCAGAACACTCTAGTCTGTGTGCAGCCAAAACTGAGCCCAATCTTATCAAACTAAATGGATTTACGAGAGGAAAAACCTAAAAAGGGAAGCAGCAAAATAATGATATTAATTCTAATAATGCATTGACTAGGGCTTATATAAATCACTCTCCCCACTCAGATTGATTTCATAAGGGTAAGAACGCCATGCATAAGCCCATCTCCAGCCGCCCAGGCAGCCACCCAGGACCTCCTCTTGCAGATAGAGCACAGGAAAAATAGTGGGGGGGTGGGGGGGGTCGGGTCTGTTGGAAGTTCATAGGAATTTTGCCTGAGAAAGGCCTGTGGGATCAGCCCCAGAGGTACCGATGTAATTGGCCACACACACAAATGTTGCCGCATCCGAACATTTTTGGCAACTCATGAAAGCCTCGTTCCTAGAGGCCACTTGAGTGTCCAAATAAAAGGGGATTTTTGTTAGTGAAAACTGGAAAGAATAACCCATCCTAGGATCAGGCTAATAGGGCCTGGCTTGTTAAAATGTAACACTGGGCTGGCCAGAGTTTGAAGTGTTGCTGGCAGGGATTTGGAGCAGCCATGAGGAGAGCCAAGCATCACTCACAAGGAAAACTCCTCTGCTGGTCAGGGGAGAGTTCCACGGCCCAAAGAGCCTGTATGGCCCATCTCAAGGGCAAGAGCTTCTTCTGGGGCCAGGAATCTTCCCCACAGGGCGGAGGGGAGAGAGCCTGGGGTTGTTTCTGCCTCCCCGTGCGCCCCAAGTTCCCCCCGCCCCGATCCCCTGCCCCACCCACCAGGCTGTGGTTCTAGGCAAGTGAGACTCTGTGGCTGACCTCGGGGACCCGTTTCTGCACATGGCCTGGGAACAGCAATTGCTCTCCATGTGTTCGCAGGGTGTTGACAGCCGTGGGCTGAGGGAGCTGGGGGAAGGAAGCAGAGAATGCGATGCTGCAGAAATAAGGCCACAGAGGCCTTCTCTTATCACCGAAGGGCCCCCAGCTGAAGAAAGTTCTACTGCTGTTTGCTTCACAAAGGAAATGCCTTCTTCTACTGCAGGCCAATCTCCGCCTTTATGTGGAGCAGAGGCCCTGAGGCTGTGCATCCAGGATTGCCAGATAAAATACAGGATGCCCAGTTAAACTGAATTTCAGATAAATAATGAATAATGTTTAAGAATAAGTATGTTCTAAATATTGTATGGGGCATAATTATACTAAAAAAATTATTACTTATCTGAAATTCAAGTTTAACTGGGCACCCTGTGTTTTTATTTTTTGTGTTAAACAGAATTCTCAGATGCTCCCCCAGTGACCCTCACCTTTGTATAATCTCCTCCTCTGGAGTGTGAGTGAAACCTGTGACTATTTGGGACATCCCTCCTGTGCTTAGATTACATTACATAGCCAAAGGGTCTTTTGTAAATGTAATTAAGGTAATTAATCAGTTGATTTTGAGTTAATCGAAAAGGAGATTATCTGGCTGGACTGCACCTAACCACAGGAGCCCTTTAAGTCTGGCTCTAAAGGCCAGAGACAGAAGTCCAAGATTCGAAGCAGTAGAGAATTCTTCTGTTGGCCTTGAAGGAGAAAACAGCTATGTTGCAGAGAAGGCCACACGAATAGCCGGGAACAGCGGTCAGCCTCTAGGAGTTCATAACAGCCCGGGTTAACAGCCAGCAAGCAAACAGAGACCTCAGTCCTATCCCATAATGAACTGGATTCTGGCAACATCCTGAAGGAGCTTGGAGAAGGACCCCGAGCCTCAGGAGAGATGGCGGCCTGGCTGACCTTGATTTCAGCTGTGCGAGAGACCCTGAGCAGAAAACCCATCCATACCACGCCAGACTCCTGACCCCTGGAAACTGTGAGAGAAAGATTTGTGTTGTTTTAAGCTGCTAAGTTTGTGGTAATACGTTAGGTGGCAATAGTAAACAAATATATTTGCTAAATCTAGCAGCTCTATCTATATCCTATGATCTCCAAAACACACTTGTCGGTGTTCCTGGTGTAGGGAGCAAGGACAGAAGAGGAAATGAAGGGACAAGGGAGCCCCGGATACACTGGACATCCTCTTGTTAGCAACCTCCACAGAAAAAGAGCAAGGAAAGGAAGGCTAGCCAGAGTATTGCCTGCTCTGGTGCCTGTGTCCTGGCAGACAGGAGAGACCTGGCCTCCTGGGCCCCAGAGCCCCAAAGTCTCAGTTTAGACCTGTAGACACGCACGTGTGTACATACACACACACACACACACACACACACACACACACACAAACGTGCATGCACTCTCCTACACACCTTCTTTCCCTGGGAGGAATGTGGAGGACAAGGTTATCTCTTCTCTCAGAGGCAGATATGGTTGCTAGTTCTGCAAGTAAACATGTGGTGTCAATCAGAGTCCATTACTGATCTGAAGCTGTAGAAACACAAGCGTTCCATGTAAGGATAAACTTGTGTGTGTGTTTGTGTTGGGGTAGGTATGAATATACACAGAGAAGGCGAGGCTCTGCAATCTAGAACTTCCCTGGGCATTGTTTCAGCTTTCATTACAGCCCTCGTAATCTAAAAGAAACTTAGAAATCTCTTTTAAAAGGGTCGGAAGACCAGGTTTTGTGTTTCAATTCTCCAAATGTTCTTTTGTTTATGGATTCCCCTAAATTCTCTTTCCAACAGCTTCTTCTATCCCTCTGGCCTCACGTTGCCCTTGAAAGTGGCCGGAGGAAACTGTAAGGTGTCAGCCAGTCAGCATGGAGAGATTCTCTTTCATCCCCTGAGTGTCTGGAGATGCGAGTTTAATGAGAGGCATCGACCTTTGAATTATACAAATGGACCTCTTCAGCAATCACTTCCCTCCCCAGTCCATACCCACCCTCAGCTTTTAATCTTCTCAATTATATTTCCTTTTCATTGATTACTACTTTGCTAACTTTCAGATGGAGCAGGCAGTAAAACCTCAGCCACACAGGTAATGCAATTGCTTTTCAAGCCTGACGCCTGCCTCTCACCTCCTGAGGGGCCCTCAGGCTCCCCCCGCACCTGACTGGGACTTGGCAAGTCCGTCGGCCTTCAATTGATCTTGCAAGATGGCCCCTTCCATCCAAAGATCTGTGCAATCTTGGTTAGGAAGACGGGGTTTCAGTTCTGAGCTTTAAGTAGTGAAGGTGAGGGGTTTGCATGCTGCTGGAGTGTGGGAAGGGCACTCACGGATGCTGGCTCTGGATCCAGGCCAGCTGGGCCTGGGAGTGGGCAGGGATAGGCCTGGGAGCAGGGAGCTCTGGGTTCTGTTCCCACCTCTGCTCTGACTTTTTTGAGCGACCTTTGTTGAACCACTTAACTTCTGTGCTTTTCTCTTGGTGCCATCTGTAAGGGGGAGACAATGACACTTGTCTGTGAAAATGCTTTGAGGGATGCTGGCATAAAAGACGCAATGTACAAGCAAGTGATGAGCAATGTTTCCCATAAAGAGCCCCTTGTTTGCATCTGCAAGAGGCCCCGTTTGAGGGCTAAGAAGAAAAATTGAGAAATTTCCTTGATATCGAGGCCAGGCGGAGAATGTGGCTCCAGACCAGTTAGAAATCCCTTCTGTGGCTGGGGGCTCCTGAGCGGCCGGGATGGGAGCTCAGTGAGGTGCATGCTGGGACCCGGCTGGCAGAACAAACAGGTCCGAGGTCTCTGCACCAAGCAGGACGCAGTGCCATATCAGGATTAGCCAAGGGACCTGACGCACAGCAAGGGGGGCCTGCCTCCCAGTGATTTACGGGCATTGACGCAGGGACCTGGGGTGGGGAGGGTCGGAGAACTTTGGGGACATTTTCAAAACTGGAGGTCGTTCAGAGGAAATTACTCAATAAAAACCAGGTTTCTCTCACTGAATAGATCAATTTACAGCTCATAAGGTGGAAAAAGTCTGAGACTTCAAGATTCTGGCTGGGTGGGTCTCCTAAGGTTTCCTCCCTTGGCAGAGTGGCTGTGGCTTTGGCTCTCTCGGCTGGGCACCCCTTCTGTAGCTCCCAGGGCCAGCATTTTTTCTCTCGTCTTGTTTCTCTCTTTCTCTGCTACTTAAACTTTTCTGGTTATGATTCTTCCCCTTCTCTCTCTTCCTCTTACAAGCCTCCTACTTTCAACATTCACCTCCCTATAGTCCTATTAGAGAAGCCCCTATCATTTTTGTGTTCCTGATGATACAAATTCTTTTTCCATGATTCCCTCTCTCCACTGCTGGCCGCAACGTCATCCCTCTTCCCTCTGTTTTTCCTTTAGGTCCCCAAAGCTCCTGTCTTTCTCCTCCAGCTGCCCGTGGTCTGTTTCTCCGCACACCTCTCAACCTCTCTATTTCTCCCTCTCTGCCTTTTATCTTCCCAGCCCTTCTCTTCAGTTGCTCTCTTGGCCTTTCTCCATTGCTACTGCAGTAATTCATCGTGAGCATCCAGTAACACCATCACCTATTGACTGGGCTTCTTTAAGTTTGCACTGAAGCAAGAGAGTTCTCAGGGAGGCAGGATCGTGGAAGACGGACAGGGCCCAAATGGAGTTGTATTGTAACTCCATAATCTATCAATCATCATTCATCCATGCACCTATCATCCATCCATCATCCATCTATCCATCTATCCATCCACCCATCCATCCATCCAAGGCTTCATTTAATCATTCATTGATTTATTCATTCAGCAAACATTCACTGGAATGTGCTATATGCCAGGCACTGGGCTAGGCACTTGAGGGAGAATGATGATCAGGTATAGATGTGGATCTTGACTTCCGTAAGGGCTAAGGAGAGTATGTGGAACCAAGAGACCATCTTGTAAGGATTTGACCTACTTACAAATGGAGAATTAGGCTGAGCTCTGAAGGCTGAGAGGGAAGAAGAGACAGGCAGTGGGAACAGCTTTGGAGAAAGCCTGTCGCTGCTCATCCCTACCAAATCCTCTTCCATTTGCTGGCCAGGGATTCTAGTTTTTCTAGCAGAAGTCAAGGCTTAGGCCATGGATTTCAAGTGCACCACATCCTTTAACCTGGTAACAGTGACTTAGAAATATTCAGACTAAGTGGTAAATAATTGGCATAGTTCATTCCTGGGAACAGGCTTTATTAGAGAGGAGAAGGGGCATTTAACATCTGAAGGCGGGAGATTGTGGGGAACAGGATCCTCCATGGTCTGTGGATGTGTCCCTAGGATGATGTGCTCACTCTGCATGGTGCCACGAGTGGACCCTGAGGGCTTGTGGGAAGAGCCCACGCTCCCAGGTGTCAGTTGGCTGGCCCAACAAGCTGCTCTTTCCTTCTTTGGGACCTCAGTGCTTCCATAAACTTTGGAGACCAGGCAGTTCTAGAAACCCAGCACCTCCCTCCTCCCTTTCACTGGCACTGGTCACAAATTAAAAGCGGCCATTGGGTTTCATGGCTTGATGGCCTTGTAATTGTTATTGGAACTTGCCTTGGATGGATTTATGGTAATGAACTCACCTAATAGCAAATCCGTCACGGGCCTCTTTGCAGACAGGATCTTTCCTGAGTGAAGATATTAGAAAACCATTCTGCAGAGGAAAAGCAATACTGACTGGTGATTTCAAGTTTAGGAAAAACACCACTGTTTGGGTTTTTCTGTTGGCCTCTAACTTTAAACACTTCATTGGCCAGTTGCTAACCAACACAGTTTTTGGCCAGGGCCCTGTTTATGTTGGCACCAAATGTATGTATCACAAGCAGTTTGTGTGTTTCTGGGCATGTGTGTATGAGTCTGTATATGTTACAAACTCCAAAACTTTTGAACACAATGTTTTGTACTCTTTTTTGCAGATTCTTCTGGCCAAGAAAAGAGGCCACTAGCAGGTAGGGCATCTATATGCATTAATGATTTGCTGTGAGGCCGCCCCACTCCATCATAGCCACCCTCTGGCTTGGCCTGGCCTGGCACTGAGCTGTCTGGCCTCCCCGGCCTCCTGTCCTGCTGAGTTATGAATGAGTGAGGTGGCCCCTGCCAGTGAAGTGGGCTCCAGGGACAGTGGGTACTTTCTGTGTCCCCTCAGTCTGTAGGATCAGAAAGCAAATCATCAGAAATGCCGGGGACAAGGAATTTTCTCCTAGCTGGGGCCAGAAAGGCTCCATGTTTTTGTGGCTTGGCATTAAGCAAACAGCCGCTTTTTTGTTCTCTCCTCAAATTATTTGTCCAAACAAAAGGCAACTGGCATGGAGAGAAAAGCAGAATTTTTCCAGCGTTTGCCCCTGTCTGTGCCCCTTCTCACAGCACGCTTTCTGACTCTGTCCACTTTCACAGCTCAGTGTCGGGTTTCCAGCGGACAGAAAGGCAAGCTTTGCTGCTCTGGAACGTGAAAGCCAACTTCTGACTCTCAGGCCTCCTGACCCAACCCAACATCAGAGCGAAAGGCAGACTTCACAGGCTGGCACCCTCCCTCTCCCAAATCCCCAAGTTTTCCCAAGCCTGTGAATCATGAATCAAGAAGCATTTCCTTGGAGACTGAGAGTTCGGATCAACAGTGAATCCTAGAAGAAAGAAGGTCGTTTTCCCTCAAACTCCCGTTTCTTTGGAAAGTTAGAAGTTGGATCTTCTGCCTAATAAAGGATTGTTATTTAATTGTGAGTCATCTTTTAGAAAAGACATAGCTTATCAATTTGCATCTCATTAGAATATGGTAAGATATGCTAAACACGACGACTAAATGATACAGAATTTAATCTTCCTCTGAGGCTTGTTGGGATTAGCCCATGTCCTTATCTACTCAGCACACTCATGATTCTCCTTCAAGACTTGGGGCAAATGTCACCTTCCTGATGGGGACTTTGCAACCCAGAGGCACCCTTACCACCCACGTAGAATTAGGGCCACTTCATCTGTGCTCCCATGACTCTCCCAGCACTGGCATGTTGCAACGTGTACACTTTCTGTTCCTAAATAATTTCAGACTTGTAGAAAAGTTGCAAAAAGAGTATAGAGAATTCCTGTGTACTGGTGTTTCTCAACTTTTTTCTCCTTATTGCTCCCTCAAGAGCTCTTTTAGACATTTTTTTTCCTAATTGCATTCTGTCATGAAATTTTAATACCACAGATATACCATATATCTCCTTATGGACTCTATGTATATCTATGCTTTATATGTAAAAAGCAAGATTTTTTTTTTACCCCCAGAACAGTTTTCATTCCTTTGAGTGCAATATTGCCTCGTGGAGGATGCATGCTATGTATTCTTTACCCAGATATCCCAAATGCTAATATTCTTCCATATTTGCCTTATTTGTTCTCTCTTTAAGTGTGTGTGTATGAGTGTATATCTATCTACCTATATGTATAGATATATATCACACATAAATATATGTATTTATACATATACACATATATGTATATATATGCACATAAAAGCACTTCTTATAAACAAAGACTTTCTCTTTGCATTTTAACAAAAAAAATTTTTTTTAACATTTCCATCTCTTCTACATGGTTGTGAGTTTCTCATGGTCAAGAATCTGTGTCTTAACCACTTCTGAAGGCTGAGTACCAAGGTAGGGCCTGGCATGTCAAAGGAGCTATTCTAAAATAATACATTTCTTTGGAATATAGCATATGCCATGCATTTCTATATAATATAACAGATATTATGATAAAATAAAATAGTTTATTTTAATGTCAAATATATAATATAAAATATAGCATGTTATACATAATAATACAAAAACATTTTTATTTACAAATAAATGGAAACCTCAGGGTCAGCAGTATAAACTTCAATCATAAAATAGTTTATAGCTTCAGAAGCTGGAAGAAATTGGGCTGAAAATTTATAGACTTTGGCAGTTGCTTCAAACGCAGTAAGTAACAAAACAAGAAACTATTCACCTGAGTCAATTTCATAAAACAAGGGCGACATGCTGAGTTAGGTGAGCCTGGAGTTTCCCATCACAGTCTCAACAGCTATGCTCCTCTTTGGGAGGCAGTCTAATCCAGTGACTTAAGCACTTCCTCGTATTCTTGCATTCACTCACAAATATTTATTGGCAACCTGCTGTTTGACAAGTGAATATTGGAGGGTCTTGAATTTTATTTTTCTTTTCTATGTACTAAAGAAATAAATAAATAAGTTACCTAACTTATGTTTGCCTTGATTTCCATGGTTGCAAAATGGGCATCAACATATTATGCTCTATGCTCCTTCCTAAATTACTGGTTAATATGGTCCTAGGCATGTGGGGACAGACACTTCACGGATTCCAGAATGAGCAGATGTCGAACAAAATTCCAAGGCTTAGGATGACCCAGATAGAACTTCTTCCAGGAATTTGGCATCGTGAGTATGAATCCACTGAGTATGAATACCTATCCCACGAAACATGGAAATGATGTATAAAACATGTAAAACATGTGTGTGTCAGGTTGATTCACTTTATGTAAATAACTTTGCTGAATTGAATGTTACCAACAATGACATAATACTATTTGACAGGCTTAAGCATAAATGGAAAAAAATTGTTAATATTTGCGATTCTGACCACTATTGAAACATTTTCTTGACGTTCTTAAGGACTTCCAAATGCCACTGGGTCCTTGAGACTCTTCCACTCCAGCAAACTTTGAAGGCAGCCCCCTCACCAGGTTATCCCAAATCCCATGGGAGAGTCTTTGAACTTAGGGGAAAAGTTTGGGTCGGGGGAGCTGAGAGGAGAGCTGTGAGTTTCAATGGGTATAGAGTGGGAGTATATCAAAGAATAATTATGTTTAAATCACAACGTTCTCAATGTATATTTCCATACTTTGTGCCTTTCATTTCCTCTACAACAAATGGCCAGGAGAAGATATTCACATCTTCCAAACTCTGAGACAAGACATCCAGGGACAGATCACGGTGAGGGCCAAAATAAGTTATGGCACAAGGCCCCACATCACTGAAATCTGAGCTGAGAGGGACCATAGAGGGAGTGACATTTCATTCTGTAATTCTGTAGACAAAATAAGGTCTCTGGGAATGGAAGTGACTTGGTTAAGGCCAGAGAACAAGTTACCAGCAGAGCTAAGATTGAACTCCAGCTTTGGCTCCTAGTTTAGGCAGTTGGATAATTTTTTTTTTAATGCCCTTATTGGAAAGCTTCAAGATTAATGGATGAGAATGTTTTGTTTCCACTTCTCTGAAAGAAACAGCCTGAATAAATTTAAATACTTTATGCACTATCATTTGAGATGATCAAAGGGCCCAATTAAATATCATGTTAAACCCGTGAGACTAAGAAATAGAATAGTGTCCTCACCCATTTTTAATTTCCCCATTTTGCAGATGAGAACCATAGGGTCTAGCTGAAGGCAGTGGCAACACTGTGAGCTCTCCCTGAAGCGATGGCAGAGTTCAGACAAGGACTTTTTCCTAACTCACGTATATATGGAGTTTACATATACCTAACCCACATATATGTGGAGTGTATTAGATTACACTGTTTGGTGGGACCAGGTATTTTGGGCAGGCGAAGTTTGATTTTACCCTCTTCTTATGTCTCTTTTTGAGTACCTCATCTCCAAGGCCCTACAGGCCCACCTTACGGCACACTCTGGCTCCGTTTTCTTCCCCACCACTAGCTTTTCACTCTCCTAAGAACAGTGGTGCCACATACCCTAGACTTCTTCCAAACCTCCCTCTCCATTGAAACATCTCCATCTTGTGTCCAGCTTCCTCATAGCCCTGTTCATCTACTAGGGCAAGATGGGTCCATCATAAAAATAGGTTCATCATATCAAATGGGTTCATAGGTTCATCATAAAAATAATCTATACCAATGAATAAAATAGCTAATGTGTTAGTCTTTTCATATAATATGTCATAACTAATTAAATATGCATATGGCTCTAAAAAATTCCCTCTCTTGTGGTAAACTCAACTTTCTTCAAAATTTTAGGTGTTTTATTGAATCATATTTACATCAAAAAGGATAAGTTACAAAGGCCCACTCAGATTGCTCTTCCTTTTTGAGGGAGACACGAGCAATCATTCTGCAAGAAATATTGATCAACAGGAGAATGAATATCTCTCAACTATGTAGGTCCAGGGTCAGGGTTGCAGGCAGGTTTACCTGAAGTAAACAAGAGCATCCAGTGGAATGAGGAGTCTAAAATTCTAGATGACAATCTTTACATCCAATTCACTGGAAACATGATTGTGTTCCCCGGTGAGAGAATTCTTTTTCAGTACTACAGCCTCTAAACCAGCTGAGTTCCAGGAATGAGAGGTAAACATTTTTGAAGTAGAGCTTTGGGTGAAATACTAGAGTTTCCTTTCCTACTTCTATGCTTTTGTTAGTGGATCCATATTTTCTGGCTACAGGAGAAAAGACACTATACATGGATCCCTGGTTCACAGCATATGTTGCACCCCTGCAGGTCTCATTCAAAACTTGGAGTATGGTATCTCCCAGATAGAGCTGGAACTGGATTTTTGAGAGTCCATTTTACCCTTCTGTAAGATCAGCTGCCTCGGGGTGATGGGATACATAGTAATATGTGTGAATACCATGAGCACAGTCTGTTGCCTTGCTTCTTTTGCTGAAAAACGAGTTTCCTTAGGCAGGACACAAAAGCAAACCATTAAATAAAATGTGATAATGGAACTGCATCAAAGTTAAAAAATACTGTTCTTTGAGAAACTCTAGTAAGAAAATGAAACTGTAAGTCACAGATTAGGAGAAAGCATTCATAATACATGTATCTGACAAATTACTTGTTTCTAGAATATATAGAAGACTTTGACAACCCAATAATAAGAAAAAAAAATTAAAAAGAGGCAAAAATTTGAACATTCCCCCCAAAATATAAAAATAGCTAATAAGCCCATTAAAAGATGCTCAACATCATTAAACATCAGGGAATGAAAATATAAACCATAATGAAATACACTATACATTCATTAGAATAGCTAAAATTAAAAACATTGACAATATGGAATATTGGTGAGAATGTATAGCAACTGGAGCTCTCATATATTTCTGATGAGAATGTAAGATGGTGCAACCACTTTGAAAAACACTTTCTTGGTTTCTTATCAAGTTAAATATGCACTAACGATATGCCCCAGAAATTCCACTCCTGGGTATTTGCCCAAGAGAAATGAAAACATTTGTCCACACAAAGGCTTTATAAGAATATTTATAGCAGCTTTACCCATGAGAAGCAAAATCTGGAAAAAACCCAAATGTTTATTAATGGATAAAGAAATTGTGGTATATCCATACAATGGAGTACTCGTTAATAAGAAGAAACAAACTCCTGATACTACTGATACGTGTGAGATAATGGAAGAATCTCAAAAACATTATACTGAATGGAGAAATCCAGACACAAAAGAATTTATACTGCCTGATTCTAGTTATATAAAACCCAGGAAAGAAACATCACATCTATAATAACAGAATCAGTGGTTGCCTAGTGGAGGCTAGGTTCTGGAGGTGGGGGGAGGGCTTGGGGTGAAGGGCACAAGGAAATATTCTGGTTTGATGAAAATATTCCTTTTCTTGATTGTGCTTTGGTTTTCCAGGTGTGTAAATTATCAAAATATCATTGAACGGTGTACTAAAGTGGGTACGCTT